ACTCCTGCTGAGTTGCATTTGAAGTCAGAGACAGGTGTAGCTGAAGTCTGGGTGCAGGGAGTCTCACCTGTGCTGTCCATGATAGCTTTTAAGACTGATGTCAGTCTTCCAAAGCTCAGGGGAGACCTTATCACTCTCTACAACTGCCTGAAAAGACACTGTAGGGAAGTGGGAGGGTCAGTCTTTTCTCCAAGGTATCAAGCAATAAGACCAGAAAAACAGAATCAAGTTTCACCATGAGAGGTTAAAGTTGGATATTACAAGAAATTTCTTCTCCCAAAGGGTTTTTTAGCCCTGGAACAGGGTGCCTAAGGCAGTGTTGCAGTCCTAATGCCTGGAGGGATGTAAAAGCTGTGTGGATGTGGATGTGCACTTGGGGATGTGGATTCGTGGTGGGCTTGGCAGTGCTGGGGGAATGCTTGAACTTGGTGATCTTGTAGGGCTTTTCTAACATAAAACTATTCTATGATTCTGTGTCCCAGCTCCATAGACACTCTTTGTAAATCCTGGATGGACTTGCTGGTAGATTTGGAGAGGTCTTCATGTTTTGGAGGTTACCTGGTGCAACAGATGACAATAAAACCTTATTTTCCAGTTCAGTTATCTTTCTCACATGATAATGAATTTCTTACAGCATTTCAGTCTAATAACTAAGTCAGTTAGGAAATGCAGTCTTGAAAATCTCATCCAGCTGCCTCTCCTTCTGTTAATGGATGGATACAGCCACACTCTGTGAAATCTTTCTTTGCAGACTGCAAAGCCTAAGTGGGTTCTTTGCTCAACATCCATTTGCTTCCCTGGGGCTTAAATGCCAATGGAAAGCCCAGCTCTGGTTTGTTAATTGTCACATTTGTTTGACCAGTTCTGTTTTAAGAAAACCCCATAAAAATGGTGAATCATTGTCTCCTGCTGATGTGAATGGTAATAGCTTTGATCCACAGAAGCAGTAGGACTCCTGACTTTTAATGACTTCTAGTGACTGCTAAGGTTTTAGATTTAGATTACTGGTTCAGCACCCAGGTCTGGTGAAATAAACCCTCCCATGCACACCTTGGCAGCTCCCAACCTCCCAGGTGCCCCAAGAGCAGCCATGCTTTGCCACCAGAGGATGAGGAGCAGGAGACAAAAAACTGCAAGAATTCAACCATGGACTTCCCTGATTCATCAAAGCACTTAGAATACAACATGTCCCATAAAGAGTATTTAAATATGTGCTGAAATAGTTTGGCATATCAAGCCTGAGGGCTTGACTGTGTACAAAATTTCTCAGATTAAAGGTTTTGAATGGTTTTAAACTTCCCAAGGCTCTTCCTGGATAACTTTCTGTATGCATGTGGATAGTGCAGAGCATATTTATCCAATATCCTTCATGTATGTATCCTTCAGATTTCTTACTCTTTGTCCCACCTTTTCACTTGTATCTCCTATGTCCTTCTGTCATGATGAACACATGGACAAGTAGCTCCCATGGACATTGCAACAAGTAGATATTTATACTCCAGTGCCATTTTTTAATAATTCCTCTGCATGTCAGACATGGTATAGTGGTGCCCCTGTCAGTGCTGGGCTCAATGATCTTACAGGGATTTTCTAACCTTAATGATTCTGTGATTCTGTGCCTTAACAATTTGTTAGCACTCAACAAAACCACACAGATTGGAACCATTTCCTTCTTTCCATATTCCTTCTTGCAACCATTAGGTTGCAAGATGTGGCTGGGGGTGTGTATTCTATTGCCACCTGTTACAGGTGTGGCAGTTATCTTCTGTTAATTGGGCAGCTTCCTTTATCTCTTCCATGACCAATTCTCCCTCTGGGGAGATGGTTTCTGTTAATGGGCCATTGAGTGTCACTGCATGGCTGATAAAATTACATCATCCCCTTGTCAGAAGCTCCCCCCAGAGAGAGGAGCCAAGCATTCCTTCCTGGATATAATCTGGGAATCGGAACACCAGAGACAGCCTTTTCTCACTGGATTCCCAGAGGAGAACCTGTTTTCTCCACAGAGAAGACCAGGCCCATCTACACCACCACCACCAGACCTTCAGAGGAAAACTACACCCTTCTACAGGATCACTGCTCCAACAGAACCACATCTGTCACTCAAGCAGGACTGCAGCCACAATTCCAATTGGACTGCTACCAACACCCTGACCAACAGGGTGTCAGGTTGTATTCTGATTCTGTCAGTGTTGTTTTGTATTACTGCATTCTTATTTTTATCTTTACTTTTTTTTTATTCCTAGTAAAGCACTGTTATTCCTGCTCCCATATCTTTGCCTGAGAGCCCCTTAATTTCAAAATTATAATAATTCAGAGGGAGGGAGTTTGCATTTTCATTTCAGGAGAGGCTCCTGCCTTCCTCAGCAAACACCTGTCTTTCCAAAGCAACACTCCGCACCATCACCTCTCAGCACCTGTTAAGGCCAGTCACCTCTCAGCACCAATATTAAGACCATGAAGATCCTATGGAAGGACTCATCTCGCTGTGTTGTTTGCACAGTTCTGAGCACAGCAGATGCCTACTGCATAATCATAAGTATTACAAGTGCCACAACTTGCTCCTTCTACTCCTATTGACTAATAACAACTGCATTTTCCCTACTGCCCTTTAAAGGTTAAGGTAATTTGGGAAAAGGGTATTTATACAGAAATCAGAGCATTTGCACAGCAAATCAGACTGTAATAGATACACCAGGCAATTCCCCCATGTAAATAATTACTCCCTGGAGAACCCTGACAAAACCTCCTCCTCATAGGTACGCATTTGTGGGGGCCAGAGGGATGGGAGAAGGGCCAGGCAAATGGAAGTTTGGAGCAGTTTGAGCAACTGGGCAACTGTCACACAAAGAAAAATGGACATACTGTGCAAAACAAATAATATAATGGCTTTGGGAAATTGGGATTGTGTATACAGGGTTCTTTGCAGTTCACACAGGACCTTTTGTGACTTGTTATATGAATGCAATCAGCAAAGGGACACACACACAAAAAAATATCCTCTATAAGTAGCTGTCCTGAAAACAGACTGTAAGGAAACTGTTCTGAGTGTCTTGATCCAGAGACTAAAGCATTTATTCTCTTTCCTTTCACCTGAAACCCACAATTAAACCAAATGAAAAAAAAATACACAAGTACTTTTGCAACCAGCATCCATTTTTTCAGAGCCCATAGCTGACAGATGTCTTAAATTCAGACCCATGAGGCCTTAAGTTCAGAAGCCAGTTGTGCTTTTCTTTCTTACAGGGTTTTTATCTTAAGGTTTTTTCTTCTAATTGTTTTGTTGTATTTTCCTTCTTTTTCCTTTTTTTTTCTTTGTTCATTTGTCCTTTTTTGTTGCTGTTTTTTTTTTTTTAATTTTTTCTTTTCCTTTTTATTAACCTCTTTTCATTTCTTTGTTTTTGCTTTTATTCTTTTATTCTTTTGTTTTTCTTTTCTCCTTTGTTTCTTTCCCCCTTTTCCCTTTTCTTTTTCTTTTTTCTTTTTTCTATTTTCTTTTAATTTTTAAATTTTATTTTTCTTTTCCCTTCTTGTTTTTCTTTCTCTTTTTCCCTTTTTATTTTTTTACTTTTCCTCTTTTCTTGTGTACGTTTTCTTCTTCTCTTCTCTTCTCTTCTCTTCTCTTCTCTTCTCTTCTCTTCTCTTCTCTTCTCTTCTCTTCTCTTCTCTTCTCTTCTCTTCTCTCTTTTTCCTTTGCTATTGTTTTTCTCAGTTCTGTATTATTCCAGAAAACAAGGATTTACCTTTACATTTGGAGACTTTTCTTTCTCTAAAAAAAAAAAGATCATTATGCATTGTGATTACAGACTGAGTCTTCCCTTTTTTTTCCTTGACATAGAAACGTTTTTTTCTCTGTAGGGGATTTCATAGCAATAACATCAAGTCAATACCTGAGCGTG